TTAAATAAAGGGTCATAGAAGATATTTTTTTTTCTCATATTCCCTGATTTGTAATATTTTTTATAATAGAGTACTCAGCGACTATTGCGCACTTTTTAGAGTAATTTCTACCTCACCACTACCAGCATATTTCTTTCGACTTACCCTGTATCGAAACGTACGGTTCGAACGGAATATATGGTTGGGTTTTTCAGCACTATTTGTAGTTATCAACGCAATTTAAACAAACCAAACTTCGAGAAAATTTAGTGAATCACAAAGGTAATTGTGAAATGTTTATTATTGCGGCATTAGCTGACATCAGACTTGAATCAACCAACATTTTTATGGTCAACCGTGGTAAATAAATCGTGGCTATGTCCGTCTAAAACGAACAAAACATACAAGTAACTGAAACTTACTTCTGCTGTTTGACATCAGATTTCAGATTTTCTGTAACATCAGAAGAGAAAAAGAGAAAGAATGAAATATTTTGACTTTATGTTGGCTAAAATTTCGAAAATGTGTCTTCTTTTATTACCTCTAAGACAAAAAAAAACTAATATTTCCGAAGAGAAATATGAGCGCTCTGTTTTCTCATCACTATCTTTGCTAATTTCTGGTCGTGTATACTTCGTTCTGGTTTTTTGCTTGAATTAAAAAAAAACTGGCCATGTATATTGTTGCTAATTGTTGACATAAATGTTCCACTATACTAACATGATTTTCACAAATAAAAATAAATAAAGGACAGGAGAGCATTTTTTCGGCACTTCAGGTATATAAATGCTGCAAGTGAAGACAATTTTCGGAGAAAGTGTTTAAGTTTATAACTTATTGAAATGCCAAATATAATGGCCTTGCATTTTATTGCGAGAAACTTGCTCACGTGAAAATGATAGCCCGAATGAAACAAATTGGGCAACAGAAACGAGCATCACAAGAAATCTAACTCAAAATTTTAACCTACATCTAAAAACTTTCAATATGAATTTACCCAGAACCGAGTAACAAAAATAAGTGTATAAGTTACAACAAAAAAAGTTTTAGTATGAATATCGGTTAAGAAATGCAGTACAGGACGTTTAATTTTTTCAAATTTTTTCTATTTACATTTCGGCAACAATGGAAGATATCATATTGCAAGGATTATTAATAGCATTCAATTAATAACAAAAACAACAACGCATATGCGTATATGAATTATTACAAAAAGTTCTGATTATTCCCGTAATTTTTATTATCTGTTCAATTAATTTCATATATCTTTTAATATTTTTAAAATAAATAAACAAAAAATCGTGAACAATTGAGAAGACGTTAGAGATGGTCAGCGCAATTGAAATTTATTGCCTAAAATGCCCATTAGGATAAAAATTTTGTTTTCGCGGCCAGACCACGACCATTTTTCCCAGTTGAGCAAACGATCGGTTCAGTTGTCTTTAAAATGGTGCGGAATAGTTTGAAATTGCCAATGCGGCAAACAAAACAGCAATGCACGGTCGTAAATTTTATAGTCGTGGCGAGTATATTGGCATAAAGTGAATAAAAATTTTCTAAAAATATTTCTGACACCACAACGAAGATTATACGAGCGTGTCAATAATATTACGAGCACAATATTTTACAACTTCCTGTTAGATTTAGCATCAAAAATATATCAGTGCACACGTAGGAGGTGTCCCTAACATATGTTCGCAGATCCAGCCAGTTTGCACATTTACTTTTTTTGTGAGAAACAAGCGTTAGACGTGTTTTGTGTGCTCGGAGATTTCCAACTGTCAAAAAAAATCGAATAGAGGATTTGTATAAAATTTTGTATTTTGTTGACAACGGCATATGGTGAATCTACTTTGCTTGATTTTGAACAAAGGGACCGTCGAAAGAGCATCACTCAAGAGCTCTTAAATGACGTCGATGATGATCCTGATATGTAACGAATTATGTTTATATGGTTATGACGTCGAAACCAAAGCCCAGTCGTCCTAACGGAAGAACCCAGAATCGCCAAGACCGATCACATGTCAAGGTTTTGCTTACTGTTTTCTTTGATTATCATGGTGTAGTACATCAAGAGTTCTTACCACAAGGTCGTACGGTCAATAAAGAGTATTACCTTGCACCGTTTGCGAGAAGTAATACGAAGAAAACATTCCAAATTGTGGGAAAACAATTCATGGATTTTGCATCACGATAATGCACCTGCCCACTGATCCTTGCTTGTGTTTAACTTTTTGACCAAAAACAAAACAACAATCATGTCTCAGCCACCATATTCCTCGGATATTGCCTCCTGCGACTTTTTCCTGTTCCCAAAACTCAAGAAATCCATGAAGGGAAGGAGATTTGGAACGATTGAGAAGATAAAAAAAATCGCTGGAAGAACTCAAGGTTGTACCAGAAGTGCTTAGAGGATTGCAAAAAAACATTGGCACAGGTGTATTATATCTGGGGGGGATTACTTAATTTTGATAAATGAATAAATGCTTTTTGATAAAACTTAAATAAAAAAATAATTTTCAAGAAATTCATTTTAAATACAAAAATTAGTATAAGTTGACAATTATGAATACAAATAGTTTTTCATATCTCCCTTGTTGCGAATTTCATTGCGCTATCATTTATTATTAAATTGCTTATGATCGTTATAGGATTTGCTAATCATTAAAAAATATTATTTAATAAGAATTTAAGGGTTCCAGTGTTTCAACATTTATATTTGAGATAGCTGATTATTTGATAAACTAAGATGTTTATTTTTACTCTTTGAACTAGAAAGTCCTCAAAACTATGAACTCGTCAACCACGTCGTCGACCTGCTTTTCTAGTCAAAGATAAGGATTTAGGGGAAGTTGTCAAATAATGGTTGATTCATTGTCGACGACCAATAGTGTGTCAGAACTTTGAGCGGTGAAGATGATTTAACGCCCAGTAAGTAAAAATGAGGCAAATATCTTGAATTAGTTAAGAAGTATTCCTGCAAGTTCTATATCGAATTTTTCCAAAATAATTTTTGAGGGATTCATTTTTCATCAGCAAATTTGCTACACATTAAAAATATCATCTAATAATAATTTAAGAAATGCAGTCTTTCTATTTGCAAAACTTGCAAAGTAATTACCATTTATCTTTAATGATTATTTCTTTTATTTTGCAATTTTTAAGTTTTTAACACGCCAAAGTAGGACCCGACAGAGGAAGGTGTTAGATAAATGATTATGTGGTAAGCTAAGATGTTTATTTCTACTCTCTCTTTACGGAATTGAACTATAGTTGCCCTAATACTTTGAACTGTCGAATGTGCTGCCGCTATTGACTTAACGCCCTGGCAAAATAGTTGAATTCGTTTAGTTTTGTAGTATGTATCGACATACTACAAAATCAAAGGAATGCAAGAAACGTTCAATTTCTTTCAGAATGGTTATATTACGGCCAGTCGTACTTCCGGAATGCACCGACAGATGATTTGTGTTTAGACACACGTGTGCGCGTTTGAGGTATTTCACAAACACGGAACATGACGGAATCCAAGACGATTCCGATCTAAATAAAGTATAAGCTTCTGATACAATTCTATGTTTCATTAATAACTTGCAGGATCTGTTTATCTTTAATTAATAATGGGAAAAATCAATTATATTTCTAAAAATATAGTTCTACTTGATTTCTAGTAGAAAAATTAATATTTATATAAAAGCATCGTGACCAATTTGCTGGTGAACTAATGAATTAAAGTCTTTCGAGGTAAAATGAATATGAATTCAATTAACAGAAATACCGTAAAGCTGCTCGCTAAATAAAACTAATGTAGTTAAGCTGAGTAGTAATTTTACTATTTTTTATTAAATTGCTAAGCGAAAATACGGCTTATGATTTAAGGAATTATTTTTGCATTATATTAAATATTGATTACCCGCATTATACAAAGTGTTTTGTATATTACTTTCGGAAATTGAATGGATTTTTTTTTAAATGTTCAGCTAATCGTCGATAATAATAGGTACCATGTAACACTTAAACCTGGAATTTGTAGGATAATTGCTCCATATCATCTTACTATATAGGCACGTGAGTGATGCGACAAAGCGCAATAAAGCCTTTTATTTTCGCAAAAGAAAATTGCAGTTCATTTGGTCTAAATGGTCGCCAAAGCAGCAAAGTCGGTACCAGTCTTTATAATCACGACTTCAACAGGTGGTATTTACCGAAGACACGGTGTTTACAACTAATTGACGTGTGCGCGTAGGTGTCTATGATTTCGATTGCACTCAGCGTTTTTTATAGGCAAGAAAATGTCCGCGTGTCTTAAAATCAAACATCCCCAAGATGCGTCTGTGAGAATGTGGAAAACCGCTAGGATTACCAAAATTGGTCATTATGGGAGTTGCTACCGCCATTTATGAAATAAATTTGGAACGAGGTCAATTGACATTTTAAAAATTTATAATTCTGTCCTAAATAATAACTAATTTTTTAAATGATAGAATATTTCGAACATGGAAACATTTAGATCTATCTTAATGACACTTAATAAATTAAATAAATAAATAATAAATCTGTGAGTTATTACATAAGTAAAATAGGTAAATATGATTATATAAAAATTGTTAACTTGATTTTATCATTTGAAAGAAAATTTAAATTGTTTTCCCTTCTAGAGAAATAAAAAAAATTGGTTAAATTCACAAATATAGGCAAACACGTGTGTTTTTATCCTTTTTTCAAATAATATTCTTCAAAAATACATACTGCTATTTTCTGACTAAGGATTTTGTTAAAAAAATATTACAGTTATAAAAAAACATTTATTTAAAAAATTGTTTTTCGTACGTATACAATAACATGCAATTATGCGTCCTTTCTAATATAATTGCCGCTAAATATAAACGATACTCGCCCTCGACCTTTTGTTTTAAAAATAAAATGGACGATTAATTTAGAACAAAATTATAATTAAAAAAAATCCAAAAAATAAATAAACAAGGAATAGTTGATATTTCGACAAAAGCCCGAATAATTACCTTAACAATTATTGAACCAAAGTGTGAAAGATTGGTATCACCTCACTGATGATGCTATCGGGAACGAAGCAGATAACTCGAAATAATACTCCAGCTCGTTCGCACACTACGGTCTATTACCGGATGCCGACTGAAGACTCCGGCGTTCGCGACACACATGAGTATAAAATCAAACCCATTCGCGTTTTTTTCTCGAAACGGAACCACCAGACTGCAAGTCTTTCAGGTACGACGCTACCGACGCAGAGATTCTGCTTTACGAAGAACGGCTACCCTTTACCACATATAAGCAGGTCTCCACCCCAAAGCTTATTTACTTGCATCTACTAGGGTGTTCAGTAATTAATACAGGGTGTTGCGAAATTTATGCACCAAGTTTTTATGGCATATCCTACATCGAAAATGTGTTAGTTTCTTATATAAAAATATGTCCGCAAAAAGTTGTTTCCCAAGATACATTTTAAGAGACATTTTAAAACCTATTTTTTATCACAATTTTTAAACCGATTTTTCATTAACATTTTGTATACTGCTTTCGAACAGCAAGCCATTTTTTCAGTACCAAATTTGTATGTAATGTAAGGTTGTTTGAAAATTATGATAGAGAAGTAGTTTTTTCTTAGAATTTCAACAGCCTTTACCTCGGAAAGAAGGCGTTTCCTGACATATGTTTATATAAAAACTAGGGTTTATTTTCGACGTAGAATATTCCATAAAAATATGGTGCATGTATTTAATAAAAAGTATTATTATACAAATTAAAAATTATTATTTTATAAATCATAAAAGTTAAAGTAATTTCAAGATTTTATTTGGATTGGATTATATTGGATCATTGAAATGAACTATTTTATACATATAATGTTAAAATTGAATACTCATTGCATTTTATCATATTTATAATATTTTCCTCTTTCAATTTATTCAAAAAGCATATTTATATCTTAATTTTTTGTTGTGAATGATTGAAATCGCCAAGCACATCACACAATCATTTATCATTAAATGACTGTTATCAAGTTCAACTTTTTTTCATTAGGTAGTTTTAGTGCCAAAATTTTAGTCAACCGATACACTGTTCATTTTGCGGATGTCACTATACTACTAGTAAAATATTCGCTATAATCTTACATCTTTCTTCATTACCAATAAATTCCAGCAGGCACACGTCGTTACTTTAATAAATCGTCCGTTTTTGCTTCGTATCGCCCCGCTATTGTTCTGGGTTTCTCCAGGCTCGGATTTATCCACGACAGCCCATTGCCTTTTCTTGATAATCGAACGATGGAAGATTTTGATGCAAAAATCTTATTATTATCACCTAGAAGTGCTGAAATAAAGAAAACGTGACATTAAAATTAAGACAACATTAAAACGCATAGTAAAAAGGTAACGCAGAGTCAAACATTTGGCAAACATTCAAACATTTAAAAAATAAAAACAAAAGAAGACAAAAATAAAATAGAAAAATATATGCTGATGACCCATGAGTCACACACTTATTTTAAGTAAACCCAGCCCTGGTTATGTGACGTAGGCTAGCCAATACAATTTAGCCTGAAACGGTTTACTATCCACAATCTCAGGCAAAATCACAATTTTAAGTGGCAATGTCCCTTTCGCTATTTACTACGATATTCGATCACGGCTTAGAGCGTAAAACGGTTAAAAAACAATCTCGTTAATCAAAATAACTTCTGGACCTGAACCTCTGATATTAAAAACGTCACTTTTCCGGTACAAAATTAAGAAATAAATCAGGAAGGATCGATGCCTGCAAAAATTCAGACCAATTCGAGAGTACTTATAAGATGTATCTCAACACCAACTGAATTAATGACAGTAATTTGAAATTTTGACTATGAAATATTACGATATCGCAAAAACCACGACCCAATTTTCCGAATAACACTTCAACCACTTCGGCACATTAATTTCGGCGACAACATATCGAGATTAAATGACATTTATTAATGCACGTGAATAAAAATGTGTTCGTATCAGTTTCGAATGGTAGAACTCTTATATTTTTGGATTATTAAGGATCTACCTAAAATTTTCATAAATTAAAACAAAGGAGAGAGAGAAAGAGAGAGATTCAATACATAAATAAACATTAGCACGACGAGCGGCTATCGCAGGCAGTTGTGGGAAGAGGACAACCTAAAAACCCACGCGGTTGGTGCAGACAAAATAACTTTTACTTAAGTCTATCTTCGTGTCATTTGCGGCCTACTGAAGACTGAAGAATATTTTTTATGAATGCGCATTAGTTGAATGCGAAACTTCATTGAGGATTGAAACTATTGAAAATGCAGTCTAAGCTTACTGGTAATGGTCAAACTGGACTGCTTTGTCTGTCATAATCCTAGGTAAAAAAGCCTGCGCTACCTTAAGATGCAATATTTCTTAAAAAGACCTGCTAGAAATGTGGAGAAGGGACATTCAATATGCGCATAATGGGTTCAACAATCAATGTCAGCTGCCTAAGACTCATTCATATGTTCCGAGGCTCAGGCTATTCTGATAATAGAGGACCATTTTAAGCTGCCTCGAAAAAAATTTGAGAAGAGCCATTCGATGAAGATTTTTTATTTCAAATCTCGCCCAATCGATCAAGTGTGAAATTTAGGGACATGCGCTGAAGGTCATTCTAATCTCTACGAAAATATTTCCGTCCGAATCTATCAATTTTGCATTAAATTTTCCTTACTTTAAATAACTGTTCAGCATATTCTTTTATGTTTTCGAACCTTACGAAAAAAATAATCCTAAGCTTAAACTTAAATAAGGAATACCTAATATCCCATTTGATTTAAGAAGTTGCCAGAAGAGAACTTTGACTGGGTGTCAAAATTGTATTTGTAGATTCTTTTGTGTATTACGTTGCATACCGCCTTTGATGTAAGTTTCATGTCAATTGTTGGGATTCTTCCTGTTTAAATTAATGGACAAAACACGCTTAACGCTTTACTTCAGTCCGTCACTCAGCGCACGCTGGAGAACAATAATGCTTATGCTTAAATTTAAAACCATCAACCCACGCTAATTATAAATCTTTGTAATATTGATCCGCAGTATAAGTCCGTTCAACTTCGCGATGCCGTTGTATTGCTTCTATCTACGAAAATAGACCCCGGACATTCTTATTGACTTAAATCAGTTAAAACGTTTCGGGAGGGGTGAAATTTTATTGCATTAAGAAAACGCCTGTACCAAAGGCAAAATCGTATCACACCAGCTTGACTTGAGGTGATCCGCTTTCCGCACCCTACTATTTGGAAAATCTCATTTTTAAGCCATTCATATTTTATCAATTCATTTCTGATTTGAAGCAAAATTGAAATGAAACCCTTATATCCGGATTTTACAAATTTGAATTTATAATTTAGGTATTATAATATCTTATAAAAATTGTACTGCCAAATACAAAAAAATTACTGACGATAGTTTATCGGGTTCTTATGTTCCAATAAAATTTCAATTAAATAGAAAAAAAGACTAGAATGAAATTTTGAGAGTTAGGGGTAATTTACATTCCCCAAAATGTCCAGGCTTTGGCGTCAGCCGAGCTATTAATTTTAAATTTATATTATAGGAGTTGTCTTGTAGGAATTGCTTTTAATTCATAAAAGATAGAGGTACTTAGGTGTAAGATTAAAAAAAATAAAATAATAGCCAATTTACTATGTACAAAAATTATATATAATATATATATAATATTCGAATTCCTAAAAAATATTAAAATTCATTGCTTAAAAAATATTTGTAGTTACAACCGGGACTGTTGAATCAATATGGAAAAGAGCTAATAGCCAAGTTAAAAACACCGCGTTTGATCAGAAGTAGTTATTATTCATTATTTTTTCAATTCAGTGCTAATAATATAACTCCTACTGCAGGTGCAGTACCTCTATTTTACTATCAGGGCACGGAGATGATTACTTATTAATTAGACTTTTATTAACACAGCTTTGTCGTCTCCAAATAGATTAATATTAAAAAATATGATGACAAAGTCCCTGTGCTTTTTAAAATTTAATTTTATATTACCTAATCTTAATAAAATACTTTTGATTATCAAAAATAGGTAAAAAATATGTCCTTTATATAATTCATTAAAAAAATAATAATAAAATTTCTAAAATAGCTATGTATGTCCTGCGTGAATTTCTAGACCATTTTTAACTGTTCTACATATTCGTACTATATTTTAAACATTAAAATAATGCAATTAAAACGTTTTTTATGCTCTTTCACCTATATTTCATATTACGCCTAGCGGCGCTCAAAAACCAATATAGCAGCTGACAGTTCGACAAGTTCACTTTAAATGTAGCATTTTTACGACAGTATTGTCTTAAAATATGCTTCGATCTCAATACTCTATGAAAACAAGTTAAGGATGTGGAGAACGCTATTTAGATAGAAAATGGCCCAAAGTACGAAAACATAATTGCGCGACATCAACTTTTACCGTCAGTAGGCCATTATATTTTCTAATAGAAAGATGCAACTGACAGATCGATAGATTATGTGCCAATTCCCTCTGATAAATTTTGGTTAGTTTTTTTTTTGAAGAAGAATTTTTGAGAGATTTCTGCGACCATTTTTTAAATTGTTTAATTACAATAATCTAAGCTTTCTAGAAAGTTTTTGAAATATGAGATTCAAGTTTCTTGTTCGTAAAAGAATCTCTAGTTAATTAGAGGCATAGAAACGAGTAGTCGCGTTTGATTGTTATTGTTTATTCTTAGAAAACCAGTTCCAAACTCCTTAATTACTAGGGGACACATAGTTCGATTCCCAAATTATTATTTCGTGATCACCACGTATGTATGTATATAATATATTGAGAAATTTACCCAGTTAATGCCAAACGCTCAACGGGAAGACCAAGTTTAAATTATTTCATGATAGATGGCGGATGCAATCCATTTATCAAATTATATCCTATAATTGTATCTTAACTATTTTTTTCTGTGAGTAGGTACTCAAAATTATTGACACAATTACGACCTTCGGAAATGCAAGTTGCCAGTGTCACTCATCCGTTTAAAATTCTAAATTAATCGGTTTTACTTGGATTATCTAAGAGGCCAAAGATAATTTTAAAAATATTCAGAACTATCAAAATTCTGTTTTTAATAATCTATTCCATTCCAATCTATTCCAAATTCAAATTGCAAAATAAACTGGACATAATTCAACAAAAAAAAAAAACTCTATTACCTACTAATTTCACCAATCACCAGTTGAACTTGAATAATCCAAATGATTAGCTTCTCAAATATGTAAATAAAACAACTATCATTTTTCAAACAATGGTATATTAAATAATTAACCACTTGAATTGAAATATCTCAAAACAAATAAACACATCGAACTAATCAGCTTTAGTCTTAACATTCCAATAATAAAATAACTGGAAAACTAATAATGCATTTGCAATTGTACTGGCAATGTATGTCAGAATATTAATTATGTCACCAGTCTCTTGAATGGAAGTAAATATTCTAGCCATTGAACCTCCCAATAACATTAAAAGAGTAGCTGCTGCAAGTTGCCCAGTATGTCCATTTTTGTAATTTGTCCATGCTTGAAGAACTTTACCTGATACAACAATTAATATATTAGCAGCAGTCAAAGATCCGAGAAACTCAATAGGTGTTATTCCACCCATCAGTACAACACAACCAATAATATAGAGCACAAAGTACAGAACTGCTTGTACACTAGCATTGCTGTACCACAAAACAAGAACCCCAATTATCACAGTTTGTATGGCTAAGAAGAATGTGTCACCCCATGAACTAAATGGAAAGCCTTTCACAAAATTGTAGGACATATAAATCGTAATTGCCGTAAGATCCAAAGTCACACTGTATAAATTTATTCCCTGTCCACTCTTATTCCTTAATATTTTGGCAATTTGAGGAACTTTCACCAATAGTGAACCCAAAATAATACCCAATCCTAAACCTTTACTTAAAGTTGCCTTGAAACAGGGAACTAAAATAAAAAAATTAAGTAGCATTTATCTGTGGATTACTTTATTTTAACTTACCATCCAAATAATTGAATTCTAGAAAATAAATGTCGATACATTGAGGAGGAAACACTAATAATACTGTTTGGCGAAACAATTCGAATGCTGTTGAATTCATTATTACAATTAAAATCAAAATTTTCAGTTAATAAAATGCAACGCTTTTATTCTACACGTATCGTACAAGAGCTGAAATAAGATAACACAAAATGATTTTAAATGCATTGATTTAATTTTAATAGTCTGGTCAGAGATAATTAGACGATTTTGTTGTTCTTCAACCTTCCTTATTAATTAGGCAAATTTGGTACGATCATTCGACCAAATATTTGGAAATTTGGTACTCTCGTGTAAATTTAAATTCCAGTCAAAATACTAGCTAATCCTGCAGTGACGAAATTTAATAAAACATTTGTTGCTTTCTTAAACCACCCTTGAACCAACTCAATTTAATTTATATCAGTTAATATAACTTGCATTATCAAATGTGCAGTATTAAATAATCAACATTCATTTTAACGTTTTATATAATTTTACACAATTAAAATTTTCCTATCCACTATATTTGGAAATTGTAGGATTACCAAATAATAATACATCTTCTACTTTAGACAATTTAAAGTTTCTTTCCATGACAGTATCGGTAATGGCCGAATAACGACAAGCAATTTGTGAAAGGTAAAAAAGAAGAAGCATATTTTTTGTGCCGTGACGGTTAACGGACAGCGTTAAATTTTGAAAATTAAAACTCTTACAACCTTTAAGTAATTTTATCTCAAAATGAATTCATCAGATCCGTATTTTACAGATGATTCCGATGATTCTCGAAGTCGAGACCAATTTCCGGAAAGGGACGACAGTAATGTAATTGAAGATTCTGCTTCAAACAATTCAAAAAATAACGACTCTTCGAAAGAAGACGATATACAGTTGAATGGTGATGAAAGTGAATACGATATTCCAAGCAATACAAGACTTTCTAGCGACTTTAAACTGAATAATCAAGGGATATTTAACAGCAGCGTCTTCGACTCGCAGGGGTTTGCGCATCGACAGAAGTTGCAAACTATTCACAGTGACAGTGATAGTAGTTCAAGCGTGGATGTATGCTCTGATACTGAAGATATTGTTGAGATAAGTAGCAGTGAGAATGAGCCTAGCCCTGTAAAATTACCCACAGTAAAAGAAAAACTTTCTGGTGCAAAACAACAGGGGAATTTGTTATCATTTGTTACAAAGAAATCAGAACAGAAACCGCAAGCAATCAATTTGAGGAATGAAAACACTGTTTTAATTGAGAAGCAATCAAAGATGGGCTTTGCAAAGAACCCTATTATTGCCTTACCCTTTAGTGTCAATTCTACTGAATATTATACACAAACAAATAAAGTTAAGAATTTGGAAGAGCAAGTGGCAAAAGTGGCAAACATGCTTCGTACAATTAAACTGGATGCATTACCAGATAAAGGAGATTTATTAAAACTTAGATATGCCAATATAGAAAAAAATTTAGAGGCTGAAAGAGAAAAGTTAGCTAAAATGATTGTGATTAAATCTGATCCAGAGGGACCAGTAAAACCTTCCGTGGCCAATTGGAATGATTTAAAAGCAGGAACTGAAGCAGTTTTACCTAAAACATTTGGTACACAGGCAGTGGCAACATATAATTCCCAGAGAGCACTTACATTAGAAGCATTGCATCGCCTTCACGGCTCTCTAGAAAAATGCCCTAAAGAGAATGATTATACAGAGGATCCCAAAGGATTAAAAGTTTCACTAATGCCTCATCAGCAAAGAGCCTTAAGTTGGCTTATATTCAGGGAGACTCAAAAACCATCTGGAGGAATCCTAGCAGATGATATGGGTCTAGGCAAAACTTTAACAATGATTTCTCTGATTCTTAAGAGTATTGAGACAAATAAACTGGATGAAGATAAGAAATCTGACTTTATGAGCAAAAAAAATACTTTCAAAGGAGGTACATTAGTTGTTTGCCCAGCTAGTTTGCTCCAGCAATGGTCAGGTGAGATCGAACGTCGTTTAAATAGGGGTCTTATATCACACTTAATCTACCATGGACCTAAACGAGAGAGTAGCCCCAAGAAGCTTGCGGAATACTCAGTAGTAATAACAACCTACTCCATAGTTGGTATTGAAAATATTAAGGAAAGCGCTCTATTCAAGATAAAATGGCGTCGTATTATACTGGACGAAGCTCACCAAATCAGGAACCATAAGTCGCAAAGTTCAAATGCAGTTTGCGCACTAAAAGGTATTTCCAGATGGGCTCTTACTGGTACACCATTACATAACAAAGAACTTGATATGTATGCCCTTTTGAAATTCCTAAGATGCTCTCCATTTAATGAATTGCCAATATGGAAGAGATGGGTCAGTGATAAAACTGCCGGAGGTCAAGAGAGGCTTCACACTGTAGTCTCATCATTGATGCTGAGACGAACGAAATCGGAATTGATGGAGAGTGGTGGTCTTACCTGCTTACCATCAAAGCAATGGGATGTTACTCGGGTGTCTTTAGAAAAAGAAGAGATGAGTGTTTATCACAAGATATTAATATTCTCTCAGACATTATTTGCCCAATTTTTGCATCAAAGAGCTGAAAAAAATCAGGACTATTTTGAAGAGCAGATGCCCCAAAGTTCGCAGAGTGCCCCAAACGCTGAATATTTTAAAATCAGGGCAAAACTGTTAAAAATGCACAAAGTAAAAAATGTTAGTCAACATGAGATTCTCGTATTATTACTTAGATTAAGGCAAATATGTTGCCATCCATTATTAATAACATCTATGCTCAAAGAAGATACTGATATGGGGGACGATGAAGATGAAGAAAGCGCTGAATTAAATCTGTTGGAGCAACTGAGCAATTTAAATATTGATGAAGATGAAGATAATGATGGGGTCATGCATCCAAGCCAAAATGAAAAAGTGTCATTAAAAGAAGCATCGAAGGGACTGCTAAATTCATCCCACCCGATATTCTCGCAACAGTGGAAGAGCAGTAAAGAAAAAGCTATGTTCAAATTGCTTAAAGAAAGAGTTTTAAAATCTTCAGACAAAGCGATTGTAGTTTCGCAGTGGACGTCGTACCTAAATGTAATTGGATTCCACCTAAAAGAAGCCAATATTCCTTACTATCAGCTTGATGGAAAAGTACCAGTTAACAAACGAGTCTTAATTGTAGACAAGTGGAATGATACTAATGACAAAGTTCAAGTGTTGCTCTTATCTCTGACTGCTGGAGGTGTGGGTTTAAACTTGATTGGAGCCAATCATCTCTTCCTTTTAGACCTCCATTGGAATCCGCAACTTGAAAATCAGGCTCAGGACAGGATATATCGAGTAGGTCAAAGTAAACCCGTTTATGTCTATAAGTTTTTGGCCGCGGACACCATCGAAGAGCGCATCAAATTGTTGCAAGACAGAAAAATCCAAATGGCGGACGGGATGCTCTCCGGGACTAAACAAATCACCCAAAGCAAGCTGTCTCTTCAGGATCTTCGCATGATATTTGGAATGTAAATATTTTTTTATGCGGTATTTGACTTGTTTTATGTTTCTATATTTTATTTTTAATTACCCTTCTTAACAGTAATTATTTAAGTGGCGCTCAAATGCAATTTATATATTTTTTTGGTAGGCTTGTTATAATATAATAATCCTAATTTAATTATAATTTTTCCAAAAATGCTTTGTCGAAATTCATTGAAAGACAATTTCCAAAAGTAATTAGTTTTGTGAAATACTTTCTTTTACCATAAATTCGCTGATCGTGGGTGGATGAGTTAGCTAGCTATGCCGTCATAGGTTAGGCTGACAAATATGTAGAAAGCGTTAAATGTTTCACTGCATATATATATTCTCAACAACAACAGCAGAAACACCAAAAACTTGTTTATTTCTATGCAATTAAAATGCAGAAAGTCAACAGCAACTTTACGCCATGGTCAAACATTTACCGTCTTTTACGTAGCCGTCCTCTATAAATATTACATTTATGCACAGATCAGTAATGCATTCTGTGTTTTATGGTTTTCCTGTTTATTATTACTGATTTTGTTAGGATCTTTCGGCCAAATACGGGGTAAAAATCATAGAATAAATAAAACATTTTTTCCATAAGTTATATATCTGGACAAACAACAAACAAAACACTCTGATAGTAAAGCCACAATTTAAAACGTATTCTTTATTACCATATTTTTTTTATAATTTTATATATTTTATCTACGATAACGTCAATGAGTTTACGGAATAACCTTGATAGGTAAGAACTAGTTTATTTATTAACTATGGTAGAATCTGTTGATCTTGTTGAATTAGTTTTATTTGTAGTATCAAAGGAATACTTGAATTGTTCTGTCACTTGTGCATATACACTATTTGTTTATTCAAAATTACCTTGAGTTACGTTCTGTTGAGCTGATTCATAAAACCTTAAATGGAAACGACAAACTTCTAAAGGAAATATCTTGCAGTTTTCTTAGCGATCACTTTTTCATTTCAGTGCGTTTTTTTTTTATTTGCAATTAATGGAACTTAGCAATGAGTAGTAAATTACAATGAACAAAAGTACCAAATGTCCTGTGAAAAATAGTTTATGCTACAATGGCTTCTTTAAGCAGGAAATCATGGAAGCTTCGTAAGTTCTACGAAATGAAGGTTTATAAATTTGTATTTATATTAAAAATTTGCAGAAGATTTTATGGCCCACAATGCCAATGTGAATTGCCTTGCTTTGGGGCACAAGTCCGGACGAGTGATGGTAACAGGAGGAGATGACAAGAAAGTTAACTTATGGGCTGTGGGTAAAGAGAGCTGTTTTATGAGCCTTAGTGGGCACTTGACCCCAATTGAATGTGTTCAGTTCAATCAGTTAGAAGAACTGGTGTGTGCAGGATCACGAGCAGGTGCCCTAAAAGTTTGGGATTTGGAAGCTGCAAAATTAGTGAGAACCCTAAATGGTCATAAACAGAAGATAAAATGTACAGACTTTCATCCGTATGGAGATTTGCTCACTTCAGGCAGTTCAGATAGCTCAATAAAATTGTGGGACACCCGTAAAAAGGGAGTAATCTATACTTACAATGGACATCAGGGCACTGTGAATAATATAAAGTTCAGCCCTGATGGACAGTGGTTGGCATCTGGTGGTGATGATGCTACTGTTAAAATTTGGGATCTAAGAGTGGGTCGTGTGTTAAAAGATTTTAGTGACCATTTAAATGCTGTTACATGTGTAGAGTTTCACCCTCATGAATTTTTGTTAGCAACCGGTAGCGTAGATCGCACAGTGCATTTCTTTGACCTGGAAAATTTTAATTTAGTATCAAGCGAGAATGATTTAGAAGCTGTACGGTGCTTATATTTTAATCCCGATGGTGAGTGTTTGTTTACGGGAGTGCGTGATTATTTAAAAATTATTGGCTGGGAGCCCAGTAGACTACATGATTCCATACCAGTTTCATGGGGAAGAGTCTGTGATATTTCAACTGCTCAAAATCAGTTGGTGAGTACATAGTTTTAGACAGTGCTGATTCCAAAAACCTGTGACTTACTAATTTTTCAATTATCTTTATCCTCATCAAATTAGTAGTACAAAGAAAGTAATAGTGATTTGTTTAGCCTTTGAGAGGTTAAAATATTTGAAAATGCTATGCTATGCTCCATTAATAGATATGAAAGTGGACTTTTTAGAAAAAGGAAGGTATCAAATAAATTTGTAAATGCGGTTTAATAATATGTATAAAAATTTGAAAAAGTTGCGACCATTATCAATAATTAATTTTAATTATTTACTTGAAAGCACCTCTGGTTAATGTTAAACCCAAGGTCAAACCGTGGTGATACTTTAGTACTTCCTCCCAAGAGTGTCTATGTTTAAAGTCCAGTTATTCATTATATTATTCAATCTAAGGAGAGAGATCGCAAACAGAAAATTTCATGCCAAACAATATGTCTTTAACATTTCTGATATCTGCTTCTCTAGACATAACTAAATAATTAATCAAAACTAAATTAATTTTTTTTCAGCTGTTTTATCTTTGAGTGACTTAATTTTTTAAAATACAGATTATAATTATTTTAGTTATTTGTAGTTAGACTGATTATTTGTTGCTTATCTTATTTTTTTCATTTTTCTTTTAACAATTTTTCAATTTAAAAAAAATCAAAATAAATGTATTGATCTACAGCAAACTGCTGTTTAATTTTTCCTTGTTTATCATTAAGGTTGGAGCATCGTTCTACCTGACCAACGTCCAAATTTACGTAGTAGACCTGAAAAAATGCCTTCCTCTGGGCTCAGAAGATTCAACCGAGTCCCCTTATCCAGCCAGTCCTTTTGTACCAAATTCCAGTCTACGAAAGAGTTTTTCAAAAGCAGAACGACCGATTAGTCTAAAAGGACGCACTCTAGATGTAAAAACTATTGAAGAAAACACATCGGGCACTGATCCCGAAGAAGAATCCATTGCTGATATTACTAACCTCAAGGATTATAAAGAAATATTCAGGGGAAGGGGGCGTAAGTACCAGATGTTGTCAATTTTTTGTTCTATAACTCTAATATTATGAAATACAGTTGCCAATTGCTCCCTGGCTATAGCTAAAAGGCTGAAAATAAATTCGTCTCCTTGGGGTCGTTGAACTAAATAAAGATTAAGAATTCGGTTGGTTTAAATTGTTTAAAGTATACTACTTACATTATGAGAACATTCTGTCTTTTTTTGTAACATGAATAGAATTACAGTCCAGGTGTACCCTGTTTTTTTATACCATATACAGTTGTATACGGACAACACGCAATTGACACTTAAAATTGTTGACTTGTAACGAAAAATTGTGAACAAATTGTATTTTGCATTAGTTTTTCAAATTGAAATCATTGTAAAATGAGGAAATAATTAAGCGTTAAATCATCATGATAAAGTAAATCTTTTCAACCCCAATTTTGAAATATGATTGATGATTTATAATATTTTATAAACAAAAATGAAAGGGTCAGAAAAAATTATGGAGTTGCAGCCAGGTATATTTTTGGTTTCACCGTTTGTTAATAATTTAAGATTTATATGAAAATTTTATTTAATCCAGTTTATTGGTAATAAATTGGTTTCAATATTGCTTTTAATATATTGTGACCCAGCACAACTATGGTTTCGATTTTATCATAGTGCATAGTTTTAGAAAAAAAAAAACGCATCTACTATCAAGATCTGTTCTATTATTAATACAAGGAAAACTGCAATGAACGTTTATATTCTGTATTTGCGTGCATTAAATTTAAGTTAAGATTCAAGTTACAGATAGCGTTGCCGGAATATTAATTATCAACAGCGCGGCCCGTAAGAAACGAATGTATTCATAAAACACAGGAAATCCTGCATAAATTCGCTTCTGCTGTTCATCAACTGAATAATTAAATAATGAATTAAATATTGGTTAGAAAACGAGAGGAATTACATGTAATCGCTAGCCCATTAAATATAATATCTCGGGCTGATTTAAATATTGTTTCTCAATTCTTATGAATTGTTTATAGTGAGTGGTTTTGGAGAAATTATCTTTTTATTATTTTTTAATTTTTATTTCCCCTAGAAAGCTAATATTTTGGACGCATTTGATTAAAAACTAAAACTAATTAATTTATTTGTTAAAAATTAATTAAATATGACGCATACCGACCATGCAATTATTTGTATGAGAATTTAGCAATTTAAGCTAGGTAAACGCTAATAGAAGAGATTAGGTCTACGTTTTTTTTATGTTATTCATACGCGGCCCACATAAAAAAATGTTTCCGCCAAAAACGAAGTAAAATATAATTCAATGGCCAAAAATTTGTCCATAGTTGGCATATTCGAAAATGTAGCAAAATTTTAAAAAATCAATGACTTGCCTTGACTTTAAAGTAGATTTGGATGATTTCCAATTTTCACGAAAATCGGGTGAAAAATGTTTATTATAGTCTGAACATGTTGATTAAAAAAATACACTCTGTTATTTATTTTCAAAAAGAAGATTACTCGGTCTAGATAAATGTATTCGGTGTTATACGGAGACGTTTCAAACTCGCGATTTTATCGCCAGATACAAAAATTGTACAAAATTGCTTACGCTTATCGAAAATCTTCTGTTAATTATCAAAATAATTTCGGCCGATAGATTTTTTCAATACACGAAATTGGCCCATTTCACGTTCTTAACATCGAAGAAGGCGAAGTATTTTATAGAACGCGTTACAGCACTTCCGGGGAAGCAGCTGATCGAATCGCCGATATCGGTAGTTTTTTTCGTACTTACTTGGTAGACTAGACAAGCGCCGGAAACCTTAACGATCATATCTGCCGAGAAGGAACAAAGTGTTCATGTATTGTCAGCGTCAAAGTATATCGTCTTGGCTTTTAACGGACACTCCCCCAAAAAGTTATTACAATCTTCATACCTATTGTTTCTTCTGGGTAACAACCAGGGGCGACTCAGGTGATGTCAGTGGCAGTGTTGAATAACCCCTTTGACCGTGGAGCAAACAATATACTTTGAGACAGACCATACCTACTCGAAACAGTCGCATTTTTATCGAGAGTTTGCGTGCCATTAAAGCCGCGTTTCGTTGCGACCACCATTGTGTTAATATATCATTTACCCGTGATGCTTGCGTCACTGCCTGTCTCATTGCGCCAGTTTGAATGTCTATGTAGTTTCGAAATTTACCGCAAAATGTTTCTCAAATTATGACTTCCGGATTTTGGGATTTAAACTAAAACAATTTCTGACTAGAAATAGATATCTCCACTTTTTACATAAAATGTTAATCGAACAGTTTTAGAGCGTGCGTTTAAGTTTATGGTTAAATCCATTTAAATTTGCATGTAAATCCACAGCTTAGCCCAAATCAAGCATATCCAAGAGTGTTTTTTCGGTTCGGACTGTTTGTTTTCTTTATTTTTTGTTACATTAATTTATTAAGGACAAGTCTTGTTCTGAGTGAACGCTCCCCAACTATGAGTGGTGAACGAGAGTTGGGTCTTTTAGGTAATTTTAGGTAAATAGGTAATTAAAAATTACCAAAATAACGTTCAAATACCTACAGCGTCAAAATGTTAAAAAATCCAACGCAATTGACTTTCGTGATAGAAAATGATGTAGAACATTTATTTAAAATTTGGAGTGGTATTCATGGTTATTTAGATGTTGGATAAAATAAAATTGTTGTTTCCCAGGTTTTCCCAGATTATTGCTAACATTGTGAATAAATCAATGGTCTTTGACTCTTTGTTATCTTCGCGTATGCCCCTTTGGCATTTACTTCGCAATAAACATGATTTAAATGTCATTATGTTACAGTGTCGAGAACACCGCCTCCGGAACCGGAGCCGTTTCAGGAACCCGAAAGAGATTACATAGCGGGTATGTTGTTATTAGTTCTTCTTTACGTTCCATCTGGAGATCTTTTTTATTTTGCCAGTTACCAAGCGGGACGGGCATTTCAATCCCGCAGAGCCGCAAATACTAGGCGACACGGCCACAGAGGAGAACTTCGAGGCTCTCTCGCTGGACAACAATCTGAACAACTATCACAATTCGGATCCTCCGACAATCGCTCCTAATCAGTATTCGCGATCAAAGTCGAACTTAGACCAGGTACATTTATATATTATGCAACGATAGGTAATCAAAAACTATCGAAAAATCATCGCATGGTATCCCTGTATCAGGGTGCTTTTATGAATTCATATTTTTTTGGGTAGCAACTGCATTATAGTATCACATTTTATCGAAGTTACCGAACTCTATGCTCACTCTGCGTTGTGATTAGAGATGCAAATTAGAGTCAAATGTAAAATCAAAAAAAGTTGTTACACTGTAATAGTGCAGTGAAAGCTCTCCTTGCGTACAGCAATAATAAACGGACGTCTCTATCGGACAAGCGGACGCTCTCATAAAGGGACGCGGACACTAATTTATTCCCATTGTAACCAAAAAATCTTCCATAAGTTAACAAAAAAGTCTAATAGCCCGACGATATTTTTGGGACCGCTTATTAGAAAACTGTGCATTAAATTCGGAATTTTATGAATGTCAACATTAAGTGGTACCGAAAAAAGGAAAGTTGTTATATTTTTAAGTAAAGAAAAAGTTCAGTTTGCGATTTGGCAAGATATTAGGAGGTAAATGACAATCTGCAATTAATACAAATCAAAAGTCTTTTGTGTTTTGAATGTAACATGAAATGTAATGTTAATGTAATATAGTGTCATATGTACTTATGTATAAAGTACATATTAGATATGTATATGTATACCTTTTAAGTCCTCTTTGTTAAAGGATAATTCCCATAAGCGGACAAAATTGGTGAAACCGTGAGTGTCCATTTATGGGAGCTTTCACTTAATTTTCAACTTTTTACATAATTTTATAATATTATTTGAAATATAAAAATATTAATTCGCATAGAAAGCTCTATTGGAAATCCACCAAAGATGACTAAAAACGCTTTGATGAAGCCCCGCATTGAAGCGTCAGGTTTTTAGCTTTTCAGGATTTATGTAAACAGCGTTTTCTTACAAAATTTTGGAACTTTTACTAAAAATTCACTCCGCACCAGTACATTTTTTTGATAAATCCCATATTCAGACTTAATGCTTTTAAACCAATTTCATGTTTTGGCATTCAATTACACTTTAAACGCTTAACTAGTGGAAAGCTGGAAGTATGCCGTGAGATTTTTGCTTGCCCGTTTGCGTAATTTAATTTGCGAAATACTTATTCGAGACGTAAATATTTTGCATATAAATTTCAGACCACGGTTTTAACATAAATTCAGATTACAGATTGAATTTGAATCTTGTATTTAAAATTATATTTAAAAAACTATGTTACGTGAGTTTTGTCGTAACCTATTGCTGCTGATGCATGGGACAAATCGCAGTTTATTTATATATCAAGACTAATGTTTTGCAGCTATATTTATTTAGTGTTACATAACAATTATTAAGGAAGTATAATAATATGTAAATTACCAACGAATTTTAAATATTATCTTATGATCTCATCATGGCGTAGAGTGCATGCAAACATTGATATTCTAAGGATAATAATTGTTTTTGCTTTTCTGGAAAGTGGGAATAGTAATGACAAATTGAACTAAAATGTCAAAATGAACACAAATTCAAGCACTTTATTTACTTTTCTGAATTTTCTAAGTGTTTTACTAGTTTATTTTGTATACAGTTCCACCAACAAATTGTGGCAGCTCTTTAAGGATTTTTTTTTTTATTATCGCAAATTGAATTTGATTCGATGTTGTCTCCTTTTTGCGTTCTTTAAATTTAGGTCTACCTCAGTCGATTGACCCGACAACAAGAGAGAGAAAATCTGCAGACTACTAACGCCAATAGAATAAAAAATGTTCCCAAATTCAACCTCCAGCGACAAGGTAGCGTTAAAGATGTGCCTGAAAAAGTACCCAAAGGTGCCGGTATTAAACATAGCGCTTCAGAAGCTAACATTAACAAAGGTAACCGAGTCGAGTCGCTCTGATGATAACAATTTGACACAAAATTTTAGTTTCGTTTTCAATCACGCAACACGTAGGGTAATTTAAGAATTTACTGACACCACCCCCGAATAAAATATTTTTTAACAATCTCGTAATGGTGTGTGTTAATATACCTGACTAAACTTCTAATGATGTTAGAAGACAAATTTCATAGTGTATATATAAACATAAGTTCAAGTTTGCCATAACCAACTTATAAATAAATTTTCCATCCCATCGCACACAGTAACATTGCATTAATTATTTTTATTATTATTTATTATTTTTATATGGCTCTATTTTTGTTTGTTAGGATATTCTTCGTCGAGAAACGTCTCGAGAAAGAATTCTTTCTCCAAACCTAGTCGTAACTCAAGTGTACCTAACGTTTCCATAACTAAAGCTACGAACGGTGCCAGAATAAATGACAAACCTGCCATTCGACCCGTCAGTATTAGTAATCAACCTGTCGATATATACGTCAGAAGTTCAAAGTTGTCTCCAGACGAAGTGCCTGTAGAGGAACCAGAATTTATCCCTACTTACATCGACAAACCCGTCGGGTTGGAGTTGGATGACTTTTTACCCGTAACACTTCACAAAAATTTGCGTTACTCTAACTGGGTTTGCTGGAATTATTTTTTTTTAGAAAAACCACAGTTTGTTTGGTTTCCACCAGCATCTGCCCGAAATGTCTGAAGCGGAAGGTTTGGGCGTACTCATGCGGGGAAATCAACCCATGTCGGGTATCATATCGACTAGAATGAGAAGCATGAAGGTCGTTTTGACGCAGTTGACGAACAAAGATATTAAATCGGCTGTAGAGGCCGCCGTGACCATGGACGACGTTAGCGTACTCGTCGATGTGTTGAGTGTAATTAACGTGAAGTAGTACGTATATTTTTATAATTATATCGCTCACTGGCTGCAATAGTGGCAGATCCACTAGTTCCGAGAAAATCAGTGATTTAGGAAAATAAAAACTCAAATATTGAAATAACTCATATCAACTCTTCTACTTAATACAAAATTTTGAATTACATATTGTTTTGTATTGTTCTCTTTTTAAAACAAAAAGTATTTCTTGAGGTTCTTTTTTAAATGTTTTTAAGTTTTGTGCCGTTATCGATTTTGTTAATAAAATTCCCAGTAAAACAGTAGATCAAAGTTTTAACATCACTTTATTATAAAAATAGCTATAAAAATATAATATGGCAAGTTCATTTGCGAGATAGATACTTAAAAAAAAATAACTGGGAAATAAAACACTAAAAAATGTGCCGTTATAAACTTTGGCACCTAAACGATAACTACAAAAACATCGAAAAGCTATAACTAAAAAATAATCGACCTATAGTTTTTGATACATGTCGAAGTAGGAATTATTTCTAACATAAAAGAAACAACTATCAGATTATTATTGATGAATTATCATGGCATGTAAACAAAAGCTAAGCTATTCTACGGTAAAAGCTACAACCAACAATTAAGTCATTAAACTTTTACTTTGGAATTGGTATAACATCTCGATAAGCACGGTCTAGATTCGCATTTTCAAAAGATGTGAAATTCGCGAATGCTCGTCGCATTTTTCTTTGTTTAATGTGTATATTTATGTGGTCAGTTTCACTAAAAGATGTTTTATATAAAAATGTGTCAGGAACATTTTTTTCTACTTTGAAAAGACGCGCCATTTATTTTGACAATGTCGCTTGAACTGTCCCAATGAATGTTAAAAGAAATTTGAGTTACTAGTTTTTTTAAAATAAAAAAATCATCGTAAATCATCTCTACGTCTTCTTCCCGCTTTTTACAAACGAATGATATGTGCCCATTATTGCAGGCATTAAGCTACTTTACGTTGAAATTTCTATGGAATTCTTCGGATGTCCGCTGTAATTGATTGAAATTCCTTAACTAATTAATTTCAGCACAATCTGGAGTCTGGATCTTTGTGTCATTATTCTGCCAAAGCTCTTGGATTTGGTTCAAAGCAAATATGAGCAGTAAGTAAGAATTTTTGTACTTCACATGTTATTTTAACACAGAAACCACCGACTTGATATATAGAGTGTTTCAAAGTTATTATTATATTCTAAGGATATATTCTTTACTTCGAAATAGGACTTAATTTTTTTGCAAACCTTTTGCGAGCGGTCTACAGACTGTTTCACATTATGTGTTATAATTTTAAAGTGTATGGAAATATATCTTCAACCGAATGTGTGTATATATATATATATATATATATATATATATATATATATATATATATATATATATATATATATATATATATATTCCAACCAACCAAAACTTTATTTCAGAACAGTTTTATTTAGAAACCTTGTTTGAAAATTTTATTGAAACTTGATATTCATAATTTTAATTCGTAAATGAAAACGGCACACCTAGGAGAAGAAACGAGTTGTGTTATTACCTCTAAAATGTTTTGGGTGTCCTTGTTTTTATTCCTTTTTTATTTGTTTTTTTTTTAATTTATAAAATAAGTGATTTTGTGATGTTGTTTTTTATTCCACTGTTCTTGTATTATTCAATATAAAAAAGGTCTAGCTCAATAAATAAGTAAGAGAATAAATGTTTATTAAAAAACTTTATGAGGAACCAAAAATATGTTTTCAACAATAATTCGCTAATTTGTAGTAAAAGTAAAGTAAAATCGCTGAGCGGAATAAAAATTTCTAATCTTTATTTAAAGTGTTCGTTTTTGTTGTTTCAGATATATGACAATAGGCTGCAATACTCTAAAACTAATTCTCAGGCATTTCGGGCCTGTGATACGGAGCAATATCCAGTGTCCGGTAGGTAGTTTCGGCGTGGACATACCTCGCGAGGAGCGGTACAAGAAATCGGTAAAGTGCCACGAACTGTTGTCCCAATTGCGTACGCAAACTGTAAAGAAAGTGACGCTGCCCGGTACCGTAGGGGCGTTATTTCGTGAGGTGGAAACGATGATGGTCAACTCGTTGGACTGACGAAACGCTCGAGTGCCCCTGGTGGCATTCAAGAACGCTAGTATTTGAGTACTATAACCAACATTATGACATTACTTAACTCTTGATTGGCAAATAATGATGGTTTGCGAAAATAACCGCACGCACACTTGGTAAAGATGATAATTGAGTTTGATGTTTTAATAATTTCTTGAAAACCATAACAAATAGCGTATAACATTTGGGGTATAGTACTGACTGATTTTCTTGTTACTAATTCACATTATAATAATTTATATTTATTTATAGAAAACAATTTTATATCGCGTTAATTACTAAAAATAACAATGTGATATTTCTATTTTGTAAGGAATTGTGTTGATTTTTGACCCATAAAAAAATCCATTGACATAAAGGCGCAGGTATTTAGATCAGTCCTATGATAGTTGATATTGATATGTACATAAAATTGTTATCGGTTGAGAAAAAATCACCTTTAAAAAACCGCAGTATATTTTTTACCTAAAGTAAATTAACATAAATAAAGTAACATTTAATATTAAGAGTTGAAGAGTCCGTCCACTACGGTTAGCATCCATTATTTTAAACGGAATAACATATTTTCTGATACTTTCATATCGAACGCCCTATAGTGAGATGAAGCAGTAAGGGACCTAATTCGGTGTAATACAAATTGCGATATTGCATGGTTATATATTTTTTCTTGCCTGTCTGTAACTTTTCCCTTTTTTTGTGTGTTTGTTTCGAATTGTGCCATTGTGTTATTTTTGCAACGATATTTTAATGTGACAGCGCGCATTTTAAAAAATTCTGTAAAAATTGTAACAAAACTAGATTGCAAAGTGTAATATTTATGATAATACATATGAAATGTAACAGTGCTGATTTTGTTTGAATCATAATTCCGTAAACTGTAGAGAGAATTTAAGAAAATGTACAAAATCAAATATTTATGGAACACAATTAAAAATAAAAAAATATATAAAACTAATTTGAAACTTCAAAAACAATAAAAACAGTGTAGAGACTTCTTGCATATGTTGGAGCGTTTTGCTACGACAGTAGTTTGTACTTATGACATCAAGACGAACAAAAAGGAAAATAACTTTTTGAGTGATGGTTGTCAGTGGTCTGTCATCTGCTGCATTTCGAGGTTGAAACCATATTTGGTGTTGTGAATTATACCGATTGCACCCGTAAAAGGGAGAAAGAAAGAATTTTGGTAGTTGAACCAAACCCACTCAACCCTATTCCTAGCATGGTCTTTCATACAACTTCGTTGATCTGTTAGCGTGATTGCCCAAATACGCTAGGGTATTTGCATTTGTGCCGTCACAACCGCAATAGCACCAAAAGCCACGTTTTCCTCTACAGTCGCCGGTCGTCGGTGACTACGACTCAGTAGCAGCGATCAATTCGCCAAGACATCAATGCTTTGTAGATGTGATGGTAGCGGCTGATGACCGGCGACCGTGGAGGAGGCTAAAGTGATTTGGTATGATGTAGCGAAAAAAAAGGACGCTGCTTATAACACATCTGAGTTGAGACATCACGTGGGCCTCCGTCATTTCCAACCTCGCTCCAACCAATAAGACCTTGTGACATTTAACAAGGCCGCTGAACGTTCGTGTCTTCCACAGATGGCATAAAATTGTTGATAAGAAATCATATAGCTATTAGATAATATAGTGGCACTATTAAAGTAAAAATTGGTACTCCGCCGAAGTTAATGATGTTTCATACATGCTTCTATATTTCACCCACTAACCTACACTTTGCACCATTTTTTTTTCTAAACAGCGAATTTCACACATTTGTTTTCCTAGAACATTTAACTAGATCTAGGCATAAAGACAACACTGCTGTAAAAATCCCGTATGTAAACTTATTTACGTTCTGTCAATAAGTGCCCGTATTGGTTATTTAATGCCTCAAGACCATTGCGCATGGGCATGTTGAATGGACCTCAAAATGTTATTGATAGTTGCTTCATAAGTTCTTGTATTATCGGCATAGGCGAGGCCTCTATATCTCTAGTAGCTATATGGGAAAAAACGAGTAAAGTGTGTGGAGATTGCTGTTTTAAAAAATGGTCCAACGTACGTAGGTACATAAAATATCTGATGATTTATGAGGGGGAGCTTTCAAATTAAAAGCTTTCTCTGTACATTATTATCCAATTTATAGTGCGACCATATTATTTAGGTGGACGTTCGTCCACTAAATACATTTTCATTCCCTAAAAAATTATTGGCATATTGCTGAAGGTTCGTCTAGATTTTGAAGAATTAGCGTAACTAAAATTTTATCTTTGCTTTATTAACGTTTCGCATTCGAAAATCTGATGGTTAACTCGAAGCCTTTGGGAGTTTGATTTATTATTTATCGAGAGATGTAGGGGCGCAACGCTTTATTATACGCAGATGTAGATAATATGCAAACTACACTTGTCGCCTTTTTAATCTAAATAATAGTGCAAGGCGTGACGTGTTAATTTCTACTACCCAGTTCTCGATTTGCATAAATTTCAATAACCGTTTTGCATAATTTTTGGACGCAAATCTCTTGCAGATGGAGAATGATTCAGGCACATGCGCATTCCATCCACATGATCCAAGTTGGACCGTTATCTTGGGGCGTTAAGGGTTCATACCACTTTCTAAGAGGAAAAAAAATGATCATATATTTGTCACAAAAAGTTTGAATAAGTTTTAACGTTTTTGAAAAATACATTCTAGTTTTGCAAAATAGCTCTAAAAACTAGAAAGTACTTAACGAGTTTTTTTTTTAAAGCTTGTACCCTCAAGTGCAGCACAGTTCTTGCAATGCGCTCGTAACATTTGCATAAATCTTTTCGCCGCCCTTTTATTACGGTTTTATTTCAATCCCCTGACTAAAGGATTACGATTAACATACAGTTTACCGATACGCTTAATTTAAAATTACGATATCACTGTGCACCTGCTTTAAACATATGCTAATCGTTGTATGCAAATCTTCTATTGTGTTTCGATCATTATCGTGTTGATATATTAATTAAAATTGATAAAATAAAAATAAAATTCGTCCGTATACCTCCTAAATTTAAAAAAAAAATGAAATTAAATTTAATCTCTAAGAATAAAAGGTAGGCTAGTAGATTACAATAAATTTCTGTTAACAAGAAATTAAACCTCAAGTTTAAAAACTTTGGTTAGTTGAATTGAAAAAAGTGAGTGGTGCACAGTTTGATATTTAGTACAATCATTTTCGGCACATATTCGCCTTTTTATTCTTAAGAATCACCTCTCGAGTTTGATATGCTATAGATAGAGATAATTTAAAAGGAGCAAATTTTTTTATGCTACGTTTTTAGGCTATCGATGAAGGTTCTCAAGTGAGCGTCATATTTCTTGATTCTTCAAAATCGTTTGAACGGTTGGATCCCAAATTATAATCCACAGCTTCGACTTTTGGATTTTCTGAATGGCTTCTTAACTTGTTTTTTTCATACTTGTCTAATCGCACTCAGTACGTCCACCTCTATGGTCACACCGATGAATACATTCCTTCTCCAAGCGTTGCTCAAGGCTTAAAGCATTTTCTTTAATGACATTGGTAAATGTCTTGATGTGGGTTTTCTGTTATATTCTGTTAAATCCAATTCTTTGAGGATTGTCTCACTCTCCTACATAATTCGGAGAAAATCAACAATTAGTCCCGAAATAATAACTTGCAGCTTTGTACAGAGAACAGAAAACCTGTTAAATATGATTTTTTGATAAAATTCCTTCCCGTTCTAACACTTAATAAGGTGACTGGGCGGATGCCCCCAAAAGCTATGGATTTATCGTACGTTGCACTAGAGACTTTAACAATACAGAAGTAATAAAAATATTATGAAACTCGTACGAGAATGCAAAAAGTTAGAGTATGCATATCAGAAGTTTGGTCGCCAAGAAAATATTCATTGTGGGTTTTTCAAATATGGTACTAAAATTTACGCAGTGGGGGATACAAGGCTTTTCGCATCCAATATTACTAAATAAATTTGGTTATTTGTCTTTTAGTGATCACCATGATTACCAATATTTACCGACTTTGAAATTTTAAACAACTGGTTTGATTGCGCTCACATATTTGGACAATTTTTTTTTGTTCCCAGTATAAGCTCTAGATATCTGATTTGTTTAGATATCTAACTTAATCTGCAATTTATTCTGCAACCTATCTGTTAGTTGGGCTTCATGCCTGTTAGGTAGACTTTTGTTAAAATTAATAATTAAATAAAACAATCCTTTAATTTATCAGAAGACCCCTAAAACTCCACTATATTTCTTACTTCAATCGGCGGTATGTTAGTTCAAATGACTACAACTAATTTTCTTTAATAACTAATATAAACTTGCGTGCATAGAAATCAGTCCATTGTGAACTTTTGACTTCAATTTCATTTTTTTTAGAGACTACTGATCAGATAAAAAAATATATGCTGCTTGAAAGACAATTTTATATGCTTTAATACGAGTATAAATTGATTAAAATTTATTTCTGCTTTTTAGGTTTATCATAGCAAAATAACTGCACGAGTCAAATTAATTTTTTTCATTACTAAAAACAAATAGGGTTATTAACAATTACCAACTAAACACTTATGTTTTAATAATGGGTATCACCCGCTCTTGCCCTAATAACATCTCTTACTCGATTAAGCATCGATCAAATCAAGTTCGCTACTGTTTCTTGTAGAATGTTAAGCCACTCTTCTTCTACTGCAACAATAAACTCTGGGATCGAGGTTGAGGTACGAAGTCTAGCTCAAATTCTCCGTTTTAGCTCATCACATCAATATTCGATCGGATTGAGGTCGGGACTGCATGTTGTCCACTCCATAACTCGAAAACCGGCTTCTGTAATGTAATCTTACACGATCCTTGCGGTCTGATAGTTATGCATAAAAATGAATTCTTCTCCAATGTAGTCGACATATGGTACCGCGTGATCGGATAAAATATCCCTGTTAAACCTCTTGCCTCGTGACCACGGCCGCGCTTACGGATGAAAACAGGGTCGGTTCCTGCGTACATAGAAATTGCACCAAATATCGTGCAGGAACCACCTCTACAAGGGCTTCGCTCTTCATTGCAACATTCTGCAAATCGCTCTCCTGGTCTTCGGTACTTTTTTTCGTTGATCATTACCAAAAAGGTATATTCTGGTCTCATCTGAGAACAGAACAGACCCGCATTGGTCCCATCTCCAATTGAGATGATCGCGTGCAAACCGTAGGCGTGCTTGTCGATGAGCTGTAGTAAGTTTTAGACCAATTGCAGTTGTTTTGGGGTTCCGTCTTGTCCTCACTGTCCCCTGACTAATAGCCACTCTTTGAATTTCGTGGAGCTGTTGTTGCACTTGAATCGCATTGAGGTGATGATTTCTTACTACTGTTGAAACAATAAAACTGTCATCACGAGCCGTTGTAATTCGCATTCTGCCTGTTCCAAGGCTCTTAGTAAAAGATCCAGTCTCCTCATACTGTTGGCATACTCTACGAACTGTTGCGCGTGTCATATCCAGTTGTCCAGCAACAGCTCACTGGAGAAGTCCACTTTCCATTAAAGCTATAACTTGAGCGGCTTTTTGCGGTGTAGTATGCATTAAGCTAATACAATTAAACGGTATCCTAATGGTTACAAACGAATAATGCGAAAATTCCAGTTGCAAAGGCGATTAATTTTAGTCTACAACAAGTTTGTTACTATCTAGCTACGCATATAAAAGATCACTACTCTTGACAAATTTAACCTCATACTAAACCACATTAAATTGTCTTCCAAATAGCATGTTTATTTTTTTGTCAGTTGAATAGACCCTAAAAAAAAATATTTGCATTTTTGAAAATCTATGCACCCAAGTTTATTTATCTAACTAATCATTCTCATTTCTCCTAGACTGATATGCAGAAGGAAGATGTTAACCAGCCGTAAAAAGTAGTGTAAAAAAGAAAATCTAGTCTAGTTGTGTAGTCAAACATAGTAATTTTTTATGAAATAAAAAACCCTGTTTTTTTGGTCCTTCATCCTGTATATCTTTTAATAATTTTTCAAAAATAATACTTATGTAATAATCAAACACATAAGCTATTGCAAATACAAAGTAATTTTTATCGTACCATATGTCTTACCGTTTTTCTTACTAATAAGAACCGGTAAATGTAAATAGGAACGGAAAATCTGTAGTCACCAAATTTGCGACGCAATTTACCGGGTGGTCCCCCAACTCAGCAAAACATCATCACGGGAGGTACATGCCCAGTGCAACTGTTTTTTTATTGTGTTTGATACGACATAATTAAGTCAGTGTGATTTTTCTAAAACATTGAACTCGTACAATGGCGAAAGGGTTGCTGCCTTTTTCGTTGAACGGGCGGAATTTAAAATCGCTGTTGCGGAAGTAAAGAGAAGCGGAGTGTGTTAAATTCAATTGTAGAAAAGGCGTGTCGTCGGCATGGGAACGGCTGCTGTGTGGTGTTGGCCGGGTACACTGTTTTCGAAATTAAATAAAATTGCGAATTCAATACGGAAAACTTTCGGTTTAACTTGTTTCTTCAATGTATACAGGGTGAGACGAAAACATAGAGGAAGAAAAGGTGCTGAATAAAATTAATGTAACTACCACCAAGCTTGTGTCTCATACAATAGGGATGTATCGACTCCTAAATTTTAGCCCAATACCAATAGACCATTAAAAATGACCATGATATATGTTGTTGACATTGTGATTAAATTTGAAAGTAGAATTAGAAATAATGGCTTGACAGCATCGCTCCAAAATTTGACTAAATAAAAAATTTAATTCACTTTTTTTTTTTAATTTATCGGTTGGTTTGATTTACTCAGGACTTTCGGTCAGCGCTGATAAATTTCTGCATATGACGAAAACATCTTAGCTACAGCCGTCCGAATTTGAAATTTTTGCATTGAGTGTGATAAATGTATAAAACATATATAAGATATAAAAAATCTATTAATAAATGTAGCGTTATGTTGGGTGTTCCACCAGACACCATGGTCATAAAATTTGTTTATGAAAATTTTTACTTTAGGTTCATCGCTTGAAGTTTTATATTAACGCATCAAAGCACCCTGTATGTAAAACACAGCAATAAGAGTCGCTGTTACGAAAAGATCTCTCTGTGAGACGGCCGGATAAAGATTGTATCAATAGGATTATAAAATGTTTGTCCATATAGGGCAGAAAATCTCGAATTGCTATCGATTGCGTTTCAAAAGATTTGGATTTTTTTAGGCTTTTAGTAAGATATCGAGTAGCTTCCCAAGAAAGAAAATATTGCCACTATGCATTGCCGAAACGTTTTTTTTTTCAAGATTTTGTTCAAAAATAACATAATTTTTTTTGTTATTACAATTCCCGCGAAGCAAGATATTTTAGAGAAAATCTTATATTTGCTTGCTTCTGTATTTCAATTAAAACTGGATTAAGTCAGTACGCATATATATGGGACACGTGCGTTTACATGGGTGGCCACGTGACTTAACATCGCTTAAACGTATGAATACGTAATGGATCAGATAGCTTTTTCGTATAGAAAACTTACGTACGGACTGATGTCGTTGATATAAAGTTATACAGGCCAATGGGTTCTTAGAAAGTAAATATGTAAGAAACCCTCTGTTGTTAAGATTTTTGAAACTAAGCGTCGAACAGATTGTTCAATGACGCTAAGGAAATTATTAAATATGGTTCCTTTTATAAAATATTATGGGATATTAGGATTTAAAATAATTGGGGGATATTTTATTTAAAAAAACAAACAAAACTTACCACCGATGTTTATTTGTTTAATTCTTACGATTAGGATAAACCGTTATCATCTATACTTATTTTGATATGTTATTATATGCTCTGTTGATTGGGTACCAGATGATAACCAAAGAGCTTATATGCTTGGACGCTTTTTAAAGGAAAACTCGCCTTTCTACAGCAGACTAATGCGTCTGGACCTAGATTTTCATAAAACACAAAATGGTAAAAACCGCACATAAACTACAAACACAATTTTTTTTGTTACAACAAAGCTGTGGCGATTTTTTTTAATGCCGGATTTTCACATAACAAAACAATCGAACTTCAGACCAAAACTATTCAACAAATTATCGAATATGCAGAATTTTGAGCATACGTACCAATTTTTCTACTTTTAAGTAATAATAACCTATCTTTTTGGGTTTATCTTTATAAAATGAGGGTTTTGTTCACTAGAGCTTTTTAAACCAGTGCTAAAAATTAATGTTGCTTAAAATGCGGTGTGACAATACACTTTGAAAATATATTAAAAATACATCTGGATGTTTGTAATAAATAATTGATGAACCTCTTAATCAACAAAATGGCCTTATCCAACGCGATAAAAACCGTTTTGAACTAATTTTACTTGACTTTAAGAGTGCGTCTATTTATCGTAGTAATTTTAGACATTCGGCATGTTTGCCACGCAATTAATGTTCGGATTTAAAAAGCGATTTTTTATTTCCGAACAATTTGTATCTTTTACATTAAAGCTCTTTAAAAGCTGTTAAGGCATATTAAGTTCGGCTCGATTTCAAAGGAAACTGACTTCTCAAAACGATTTTATTTTTAGTAAACGTCTCGAAACGTATCGAATTGTTTTGACACGTCTCCCTTGGGACAAATGTGACGTATAAATCTCACACTAATGGTTCACACGAGTAGGAAGCTGCGATAATTTCACTAAACACAAAGTTTTATCTCTTCCTACTTTGACAGATAAAGTTTTGTTCAAACTGGTTAAGATTATCGGAAACGCGTAGGTATTAGCGTGCGACTTTAATTAAAATCGTTTCGCAAGTGAACAAACTGAATAGCAAATGTAACTTTATAGTTATAATACCTACATTACAGTTATAACACATCTGAAACATATAACATATAAATTAAAATAAAATCGTTTTTTTTTAAATTTCATGAAGGCTTTTTTACATGCCGCTGGTGTTGGGCATTTTTTTTACAACATACTACTTGCTGCAGCATAGGCAGTTTCTGTTACTGCTTAAAATAAAAATGGAATTTTGCCAATTAAATAACTTTACCGTCCATATTAAAAAAAAAAAAGGCGAATAATTTGGAAAATGGATTTAAAATAAAACTCAAGAAATGACTTCTTGGATGTCCCCCGTTTCAGTTTAATTATTTTGTATAATGTTGGTGATTCAAAAAAGTTACCCGCCTTGCACGTGTCGCGAATTACCAAAAAAGTCGATATATAACATTTGGACGTTATCTATGAAGTTATAATTCAGCCTAAATATACGACACATGTGGCAATTTCGTCGATTTAGGAAAAGGGCGTAAAATAATCCCTTTGTATTCCATCGAGGCGTTTTTATTCTCCAAAGGGTTGACCCTACTTGCGCCTACCGTGTAAAATCACATACGAGACGGTTTTTCGATAAAATTCGGAACTAATTCTAAATTGTTGGGAAAGTAAAACCATGTAGAGCAATGACAAAAAAATGAAAACGTCGCAACAGAAACTTTTTATTACAAATACAATCACAAAAACATGCGTTTACAACAGGCTTTAGATTCTGAAAGTATAAAAAGCCTTACGCCTTATACCTAATATTATTGCTTGATAAAAAAATTGGAATCATAAAATTAATATCACATAAAATCCATAAATAACCAAAACTACACGTGTTTACGGCATTCTTCTTTCTCCCCTGAAACAAAGGAAAATCACATTACGTATATACATTACATAAAATTGTATTGTATTGCAAATAATAATACAGCAGACAAGTTGTAAATAACAAAACTTCACAAGAAAGCATAATATTTAATTACACAATCAGTGGTGTACCTTCTTCAAAATATTCAGCTCACACCTTATATGCGCCTTATGTATATATATATATATATATATATATATATATATATATATATATATATATATATATATATATATATATATATATATATATATATATATATATATATATATATATATATATATATATATATATATATATATATACATTACATAAAATTGTATTGTATTGCAAATAATAATAAAGCAGACAAGTTGTAAATAACAAAACTTCACAAGAAAGCATAATATTTAATTACACAATCAGTGGTGTACCTTCTTCAAAATATTCAGCTCACACCTTATATGCGGACGCCATTGGTGAAAAATAATAATAATACCTCCTTTTCGAATTAAGTGGTTGTCATATATTTTAAATATTTTGGTGTTAATTAATAAACAGTTTCGTAAACTCTTTTTACAACATGGGTAAGTAAATCCTCAAAACATCTATTGCATATGACGCTGAATTTTCGAAGATTTTTTTAAAAAGTTAGGTTATTGCAAATTTTATTTTATATAAATATTTAAAAAATATATTATTTGATCGGTAAATAATAATTTGTAACTAATGTCAGTTAGAATATATGCTATATAAGTGAAGTATTCAAACGAGAAAACCCAAATAAATGACCATGAAAAAGACAAATTATCTATTAATAGCCATCTTTTTCTATTGTAAAATTTGTGTTACTTTTATATCCCGAGCGTACGAGTGAATTACAATTATGAATGACTAAAAACAACCAGTCTCGTTACTCCTTTTCAAATAATATTGTTGAATAAAAAAACGTATACAGTCCCGTAGAATTGTTTATCCCCGTTTATACGGCATAAGGCACAACTTGATACGGATTTGCTCCCGATATGACATTTATCTAAGGGTGCCCCGCTGTCAACAAAAAGCCCAGGTAGTGTCACCAGGATTTCCTTGTGTAATCACCCCCCGTTGTCGCTACAATACTTTTTCTAAGTAGTGACACTTTAACAATGCTGAAAAGCAATTTTTAGAAAGTCCCTTACAAGCGACCAAACGTATCATGTGCGATTAGGAAAGCGCAATGCTTCGCGAATTCGAAGGGCCGCTTTGTTTGCAACTGATACGTTTAAAGTTGTCTAAATTTCTCAAAAGACGCATAACGTGCCGACAAAAAAGGAAGTTGCCATTATCTGTCGCGAACGCTAACATCTAAATTGACACTTGAATTTTTCTGCCATTGTCGAATGTTGAACGTTTTTTTTTCACACTGGAAATGGCTACCAAATTTTGTTGAAAACGAAACCGATGCCTTTAATGTCGAGGCTGTTAGATATTTTTCAGCATCCACGTATTTTGAGTCTATGCTCGCCATTCCCAACATTGACATAATTCATTTGAACCTAACTGATTTTCAGTATTATTCATTTATTTATTTATTGGCAATCTCCATTTTAACAAAAATTATAATAACGATATTTATCTAAAATTTATAATTATAAATAATAAATAGAATTACAATTACATATTCTTTTTAACAAAAAAATGTATATGGATATGGATAATAGGGTTATACACCAAGTTTTATCTTATATTTTTAATATGTTGTGTAAATATGATTTATGTATTAAAGATATTATAAGCTGGAGAATAGGTTACGATAAGAAAATATGTATTAATAAGTGTTAAGTATTAAAGACAATATTTTAGAGGTAGATGGGCTATTCTGTTCCAACTGTATTTTTTTATATCTTGTATTGTTTGTTCCCACTGGTCATTAATTAATAAATTAATAATGAAATTTTTGTGTTAGTTAGATGATCAGGAACACATTTAAATTTAAATCTAAATAATGTAACTTCTCATTCAGAGAGAACCTACAATATATCGGTCAGATGTTACTACCGTGTCGTGTCCATTTCTAATTTCTATTTCTAATTTTTCTAATTTTTAATTTCTGTGATCAAACTAAAAAAAATTGTCTGGTTAATGTATTCAGCTAACACTCAATTTCGGTTCAATAATTCCATCTTTAAAATTTAACGAATTTTTGAATTTTAATTTATATGACTCGAGCGCCATCTACCTTGAGATTTATGAAATGTCTGGTGAATCATGTTGAAAGTACGTCATTTGATTACTGTTTACAAAAATGGAGTTGATAAAGTAGTGCAGAAAATTTACATGATTTTAGAACTCGAATTTATTTTATGTCAGGACCGTGGCCGCTTTGATATTGTAGTAAACTACTTTTAGGCTTTTATTTTTACAGTAAAATAGATGAATAATATGTATAAAGGATTTAAAAAGTCTAGTTTTAAAATCTTAGAAATTTTAAGTAAAAAAAGTAATGGAATCACCCAGTTAGTGAAAAATCTAGATGGTTTCTTGTAATAACACCTATTGAGAAGATTTATTTAATATTACTGATGTAGGAAATAAATGATCCTTATTAAGTAGGCATCATTGAAATTAGCGATGGATGACTAAACAGTTTAAATTTCAGTTTTCTAAAACACACAAAAGTTTTAGTTCGTTTATTTGATAAATATAGAGAAGTACACTGACTGCAACTTCTGAAAACAAAATTAATGAACTAATTCTTTTTTTTAATATAAAAAAAAACAAAAAAACTTTCTGTGAAATGTCTGGCCGGACAAAGATGCAGAGTCATTGTTTGCTAATACAAAATTAAAAAACTAGTTGGAATCAATAATGCAGAAGACTACTTTATGGTATTCTCTTTTGGGGAAATGGAAGTTATACGTTGTGTTTTCAAATCGCCAAAAAAGTCCCAAGTTGTATTGCTGGAGTGTTGCCGGATAGTTCATGCCCCGGAGTTTAAAATACTTTAGCGTATAGTTTGCGACAGTATATACCACGTACATAATACACGGAGTAAAGGCGAATTCTCGATTTTAAAAAAATAGACTAGAATTTTCAAAAAAAATAGTTTATGAAGGTCTTCAATAAACTTTCCCCAGAGCCAGAGAATAGTAGTAGTATAAACATTTTTAAATCTGAACTAACATTTTTGCTTCTAGAATACGCTTCTTATATATTGCGTTGTGTTATTTTTATTTTGCGTACTTAGTTGTGACTGACTTGACGAAACCTATAATACACAATTAGTCCGCCTAAATGTCTAAAACTCCTGCTAAAGCTCTTCATTACTAACATTTTGCAAATTTTATTTTTGTCAAATGAAAACCAACGAATAATAGCAATACATCTCCGAAAATGAAGATACCTGCCCACCGCTTCCCACCGTCATTAAAGTTATTACAGTATCATCAAACAGATATTATCGTTTTGTTTTAACAGCATAAATATGGGCAGACGAATTTTTTAGTGTAATTTTGTTTACCTTGGTGGTCCATGACAGCGAGGTGCCACAGCCGCGTGATGGCCATGGTGATGGATGTTGTTAGACATTCTCAACTGAAACAAATTATAATTAATCAAATAAATAATATTAATGAAATTAGATGAGTGTTCCTTCTAAAAGTTATTTCAAAAGTTGATCAGAATTTTAACGGCAATTCTTATTATTACCAGATGAACGAACGTCATCATAATTAGATCAAAAGTTGTACAGAACGTTGCAGAATGTTATGAAAAATATAAGAAAACATATCTTTTATAATTTATTTTAAATTTGTCGAAAACGTATTGAGATATCAAGGTGAGTTTTGGTACAACCGATGTTTCACTAAGGGTCATTTCAGTGTCACTTTCTGAAAGCTAATTAATTACGTTTACCAACTTTTTTAATAAACCAGAGTAAAATAAGTATGTAATCCGATCTTCCTACTTTTAAGAAAAGCTTCCCAAACTCCAATTTATATATTTAGAGCCGAAAAAACAATACGAATTCAAGCTCTAACAAATTCTATTTTAATTGACGTTTTGATCTTAAACTATACACGATTTTCCAACTGAAACAAATCGATGTTTGGAAATCGGCAAATAAACATGTCACTGGAAAATCCTATAATCCCTTAAAAATGCCGCCTGTGACAAAAAAAAACTACAAGCGCCATGCTTCATTGTATCTTCGGAAAGAGGGTCGTAAAGCTCTCAAAAAAACGTTAAAAAATGTGCCGACAGGGATGCCGACAGAATTAACGACTTGATAGAATTTGGGTGCGTACCTATAGATATATGAAGATAAAAAACTTTAAAAACTAATCCTGAGATAATCTGGAAATGAATATGTGTATAAGACGGCGTACGTTGCAAATTGCGGATCCTATTTGAAGTCGAGGAGGCGAGTAATTTGAAAATTAGAGTGTAGATATAAATAAACTATCTGATATCTGCAGCAGGTAAGGTGTTGTTTATATGCCAAAGGTTCCATAAATAGGAAAATGTGTATTGGAGACTTTGCTTATTTGATTATTGTATAAACATAATTTGACGGTAATTTCGATATTTTAATGAGAAATTTGAGATTGTTTAAGTTTCGTAATTCTCTGAAAATATTAAATTACGAGAATTTGAAATTTTCTACCATCATCTCTCCACAGTCATTATGTAACATAATTCCACAGACATGCAGTGCCATTTATGAAGTGCTAAGGGATGATTATATGAAGGTACGTACAATACCTAAATAAGTACAAGCTCCCATAATATATTCTATATTTTAAGTACAACTTGAAAACTTAATTATTTTCAATCAGAGGTTTATACTCTCTAAAAAATCTTGAAGTTGTGGCGGAGCTTCCCGCGTTATTTTCTTGAGAATTGATCTCAAAACCCTCATGTTGAAGTGATGGGCTCGGTAACCAATAAGTTTGCATTTCATGTATTCTATCTGATATATTTGAATATTTGAATTTAATAAATAATTATTCTGCTCTTGATGTTGCTGCTGGTGATGACCTAAATTGTAGTTATGATAGCTAGCATAGTAAACATAGGCACCATCATAATTCTGGAAATTGTTCGGCTCTCGTGAATCATCTGCTAATGAAATAATCCTAGTAGTATTTTTTTGTAATATGCTAGCTTCTTTATTAAGTACTTCCAATTTTGCGGGGAAGTTTTTCGCAAAAATGGCGAATTGATTGTCCTTGTTGGAAGGTTCACTTCCAACTAGTAGAGTAGAGCAAAAACTTCGTCTGTTTGTTCCTCGGATTTTGTCTTGCGTTTCTTTTATTTTCTTTTACAAATAGAAGTAAGCAGAATACCATAAATATGGTACGTATATTTCTTTTGTTCCAGCATCTCATCTTCTCGACTCCATGATTTTTTCGTTTCTCTTCGGAAACTAGATCGAAGGCTGTTAATTTTGGTTTTAACCATTCCTTTAGTCGCATTTTTCGCTACTTCTTGAAGTTTCACATTAACACATTGTATGCTTCATTTTTCTTGTTTCTATCTATATATTCCTTGGAATTTATTTTCCACAAACAGGGATAGGATTTGAACAATTCATTGAACTCTGTGAGAAATTCTTTTGTAAAATTTCTAAAATCTGCCGTGTTCACAAAAAAGACTAGAATAAGCTGCCTTACTGACAAAAGCCTTTCAATATAGAAAAGTTTCTCTACACACAGGCATGCATGTACGCGCGTACAAGTCTGAACAGGCTTGAATTCAAGCAAGAACAGAAAACATGTGCGTCGCTCTTTTCATCGAACAATTGTCTACACCCTGGCGAACATCACCGCACGTACATGTGCAACTGCCTGTAGGCGCCTTAGTACTGGAAAAATAAATTATTAATAATTCATCAATTCAATGGGAGAATTAAAATGTAAACTTCAGGGTGGCGAAAAAATCAAAATAGGTGTTGGTATAAAATAGGATCTCCCCCTCCTGCTGGATCAAAGAATGAAGTGTTAATATTTCGATCAGTTAATAATATAGTAATAGCTCCTGCAAGTACTGGTAGGGAAAGAAGGAGTAATAGTGCTGTAATACCTACAGCTCAGGTAAAAAGAAAAACTTGATCTATAGGTATATTATGATTGTGGTAATAAAATTTGTTGCTCCTATAATTGAAGAGATACCAGCTAAGTGGAGACTAAAAATTGCTAAATCAACTGATCTACCTCTATGGGCAATATTAGATGCCAATTGGGGGATATACAGTTCATCCTGTTCCGGCTCCTTTTTCAATGATTCAATTAATTCGTATTTAATTTTATGAAAATAACGCAATTTTTATCGAAAAATGTAAAATAATAATTCTAATTGTAGTTTTGTTTTTTGGACAAGGTGTCTTATAAAGATTAAAAAAGTTGATCTCTACCGATGGGTTCCTAATAAAGCTTTTTCTAAACGCGTCGGAGATAAGGGGATAGAACATTCGAAGTTTAGTAACAACTCATTTCTCAATCCCAAACTACAAAACTATATTTATATTAATATTCCAGCCACATATTTTAAATATTCGCATTAAATGTTCGAGTGAGAAATATAGACCAAAGAGCACCTTTCGTCAAACTACCTGCTCGGCACCTGTGACCGCTGGTTTTTCATAAGTATTTGCGCAAAACGCTCACAAAAGGCGTTATTAAGAGATTTGAATTTCACTTAAGTCGGCGGTTCTCTAAAACGGTCCATTGTCCGAGCAAAACGTTTTTCAGGTCTTTGAACGTCATGGACTTTTGATTTTATCGTGGGAAGCAATATTTATGTTTTTTTTATAGAAACGAACTGGACCAAACATTGGACGCTACGCAGATAAAGGTAAATTATACACCAGTCGCAATGACTGAATCTTACCCAAAAATTAAGTAGCTATTAAGAGCTTTTCAGTTGGATCTTAGCGAGTTCCTCGAAGTTGGTGTAACCGTTTTTCTGCACTTCACCCAACATAAAGTTCACAGTATATGCATTTACAATGTGGAAACTAAAATTCACTTTCGTTGTTCTAAAAACCAGGCATGTTAAATTTTAATTTCAGATTGACTAAAGTAACTAGATTTGGTTAGATGAATTTTAGCTCATATATAAGCACTGAAATGTAAACGGCTTAAGACTGGCAGATTAATAAGAAATACTGAAGAGGTCTCTCCATCAAATGATCAACAGTTGTTTAACATTTTTAATATTCTTGTCTCGAGAACAGAGGTTCGTGGGATATTAAATAAATGAACATTTTATCTTTCTGCTCATTAACCAAAGTTTTCCATCCTTTCGATGATTTTCGAATTCCAACCTACTTACGACAAAAATAAACCAATGATAATTGTGTTCATTGCATATTATCCTTTTTATTAAAATTAAAACATTTGTTCGTTTATTACTGTTTTTCTTGGAAACAATTCATTTTTATCGACAACAAGAATACTTTCTTTTAGTTTAAAGTTATAGTCAAGGTAAGGTAGGTGAGAAAAATTTTTGTCATAGAAATTAAAAATTATGAGCAACTAGCCGCAAAATTTGTCGAATTTGTATTGGCACAATGAAATGATTTAATTATATGTCTTTATATTCAGAATTTATTAATATTAAGAATTACAGTTGTTCAATAATCAAAAAAAAATTGGAACTAAGTTATTATTCTGATAAGAATGAACGATCTGATACTGGTAAAGTTTAAACTCAATGAAAGCCTGCAAAGTCTCATGATTTTTCAATATTTTTACTACCGTTTACGAATTGGAAACCCAAAGAGCCCCGTCTGTTTGCTATTCGTTATATGGAGAGTATCGGGTGAGCTTAAGGGATTTGAAGGGGCTTGCGTTCCTGCTTCGATTGTTTTCTGCGGGATTTAACGATCGTTGCGCGTGATCTTGAAATAATTATGCGCCCCAGGAATAAAAGCACTTATAAAAGTTTGCAGACATTAGTTTACATAAACATGCACGAGTGTTGATCATTGCAGAAAAAAATAAAAAGGATCACATCAAGTGCAAAAAGCTGGTCAATTAATAGATCAACATCCAGTTAGTACCATTCTGCTCATTCTTGTCAATGGTTAGAACTTCAATAAGTCCTATGAAAAATGCAACTTCTATTTCAACCTTTAATCGTCCAAACGTATTTTTCATAATGTGGATTCACTCTGTACTGACTTACCTTACAATAGAATGAATAAGTATATATATTTTTGCAAACCTGCCTCGTGAATTTATTGGTAAATGTCAAAAGAATGTGGTGAAAAATGAAGGAACTAAAATAAAACAAAAACGAAAACGTAATTTGTTTGTATTTATTCAGGTTATATTTACATATTGCAAACACGTATTACTATAACTAAACAAAGTGAAAAAAAAAAACAAAAAGAAATAATAGAGAAAAATAAATACAATAATGATTTATATTCGTAATATTGCAAAAATCAATCGTAATTTGTCGTTTAAATCATAGGACAACCTATCAAAAGTCAGAAGTCGCACTATTCGAATTTTATACAGACGAGTTGCACTATATTTTAATATCACAAGTCCTAAAGTGATTACTCCTATCTTTGGCTAATCTCTTACTACGAAAGAGGGCTGTCTCTTTCATATATGCAGATACAGTGTATCGCTGAGACAGTAAAATATCGGGCTGAAATTTGAGACCAACCGTCGACTGTAAAAACTTCGACCGTTCACTATATTGTTGTAGGTGCCACCGAACATAAAGTTCACATGAAGGGCGCAAATACGTTTTCATCCTACCAATAGCAGATCAAAAATAGTATTAGAAAGTGAGAGGATGACAATATTGGTGATGGAGCTTCCAGAGTGACCTTTCATGTCCTGTTTACATTCAGTAAATCTACTTATAGTCTACTATCTACATTTATACCATAGGTAGACGGTCTTTACAAGAAAATCACCTAGTTTACCGTAACAATCTCTTCCAAAAAATCACAGCCACGAACCGTTGTCGCCGCCGCGTCAAAACATTTTCATGTAGGCTCTTTGCATTGGCATGGCACCATGGCTACGTACCTCAAGGTCTTGGTCGGGCCTGTCTTGCCTATATCCTCTCTGTTTGTCTTCAAACTCCCGCAACCTCTGATTATATCTCTCAATTTGTTCCCTTAAAATCGCGTCTTCCTGAAGGGCACGCTCTTCATCGTATTCGATACAGCCGACACCGTCCAAACGTTCGAGATCGATCCAGCCCCGCCATCTCACGCATACTCCGTTCATTATGAAGGAAGCTTTGATGTTTACCTGTAAAGAAAAGTAGGTATATAGGTGCTGAATGCATTAACCGTGAAATTAGATGCTCGTCAAACAGTACAAAAATATCAAACTTTCAAACAACCTTCGATAACTTGGCAAAATTGTAAAATGTTGCCCTCGCATGGCGACGTCGTTTACATATAATATTGAATTAAAATTGCTCTCAATTTTACTACGTTTTACATAGAGAGAGTACAAATCATATAAGAAGGTGGCGCACAGACTTCATGCTTGACAAGGTCACGGCAAAATGGTATGAGTAGTTCAAATTGTCCTCATCAACACTCCAAATGTGATATAAAAATGAAATATTCCATTTTTAAAATATCGGTTAAAACCCTAACCTCCAAATTGAAACTCCAATAACTCCTGTGATGCGAGTAGCTCTTAGATGTCGAATTTATTTATATCCATACAATTTTTTCCCTCTATATTTTCAATTAATCCACAACAAGCTTTCAAGTTGATAAAATTTACATATACGTTCATACGGCCGTCATGGAATGGAGAAAATATTTTCCTGCACTCTGTAAATGGTATATATTATACATACACGTACGATGAACAACGTATTGCACAAAGGATCGACTAATCCAAACGATTTCACAGTTATCATGTCCCCCCTTATGTACAGGGTAAAAATCTGTCTATTCAAACAACATTTAAACTGAATAGGTAACAATTAGATAAGGCTGTCCATTTGCAGGCCATGAAAGACTATATTTTACGCCCTGTTACGTTTATTGCCTACTTCCGGAAATGACCGTTTTTACCGATTGTTGAACGCGCATTAGTGGAAGTCGGCGGCGGACATTTGTCCAATGAGTAGGCGTTCGAATTGTTATTGCGCAAATAACGAATTTTAGAATGCCACGTTGTTAGTACAGTTGTCAATCGGCTGTAAAAGAAAATTGTAGCAATACGCGATGATGCCATGAAAGTGTTTTTCTAATTGTCATTATAAAAAGCTATTATAGGGGCAGTAAGTAGACTGTTTTTCAAAAAAAGCCAAACTGAAAACTGTTGAATTGACGAACTATCAGCAGCCATGTTGTTGAACGTCGCCAAGTCTTATTTGTTGAACGTCAGAGGTTTGAAATGATTCAGACAAACTGCCTAAGAATATGTTTTTTCCACACCTTAGCGTCTTGCTTCATCAAAAAGTTTTCGAAAACTGAACAAATCAGTCCCCCCACTTACATACATAATAACAATAACGTGGGAATCCCAAGTCAATATATTATCCAGAAACGTCCCGTTTTTGTTGTTTGGTTCTGCCTCAGACATTTATGTTGATAGTATTTAGTTCAATGGCTTTATCCTTGTACGTCTTGAATAATGTTATGTTTGTTTGGCTATTATTAACAACTAATTTATTCTTCTTAAACCAATCTTCAACTATCTTCATAAAGTTAGTGGTAGTGTTCGTGGTAACCAGAAAACTTGTATCGTCCATTATTTTAACATTTTCTCATAGTGCTAGGAATTCTGTTATATTATTTATGTACATTAGAAACAAAATAGGCCCTTGACCTTCCTTGGGGAAGGTGTTGGAGCAGCCATCATGTTGCTTGGCCTTCTGTTAATAACTAAAAAACTTCAAAGTAAACACAGTAAAGCTAAAATTAATTAGAAATTTTTTATGGTATGCATAATATAAAAAAATGATTATTATTATTATATAATTGTTCAGTTAATGGACATTTTTGTAAAGTTGTTGTGATTATTTAAGTAATTAGCCATTTAACAAATATTATAAATTATTCCATTTCATATATTATTTTTATTAAAACAAATAAAAAAAAACACAAAACTATTTTACCATTATGTAATGATTGAAATATCAATAAAACCTTAATGACTTTTTTAAAAATAGCACCAAATAATGGTTTTAAATATATATTACATTTATCAAATCATTTGTTTAAATTTTTGCCAATAAATTGTCGCCGGCTGACAGTTCCTACGAATTATTTTTTTTTTCACTAAAAAATTAAATAGAAGCTAAAAACGATGTGCTTTTTTTAACAAAAGCTACGACTAAATTTCACGCGTTGTTTCATATTAAAATGTAACATGTGGCTGCCCTATAGCATTTAATGTAGCTCGTTATAATCTTCGAAAGCGCCCTTGAAGCACGGCGACGGCAATTGAAGACAACTCGCCGGCGGACAACGAGAAAAGATTTACTAAAGCCTTTAAAACCAAATTGCTCTTATTCTCGCTTTACAACTGACAATTCCGCTTTAGGACATAAATTAAAACGGCCTCTAAAAACGTCGACAAGGGTCGTTCGACCCCAGAATGTTCCGTGTTGATAATTTTCGACCTGCAGCAAGGCTTAAATAGTTTCAGACAACAAACGTAGAATACGTGGTGTCCCATCACAAAATACTTCGCAACCATTTTCTTTCTACGAGTTTTGATTTTATTTTATTACATTATTTACAATATTTAGAATGTAATTTTTCTTTTCTTCAAAAATCAAAATTATTACAATCTAATTTTTCAAAGAAGTAGGAGTAATAAAACGACGGATTCCGCTCAGTACAACCAATTTTATAGGTCTAAGTAGAAAATTAATCCATAAAACCATGTAAATTGAGCAATATTTCAGATACATAATGAATATAGATAAATATTGCTAAAATGGTGAGTTATTGCAGGAAGGAAAGGTATCCGGCAACTTGCAATCACCCAAAAAAAGCCCAGCAGCAAAATTTTTTGAAATACTCACTTTACATTGAATTTTGATGGACCAAAGGGTCACGGAAAACCTCGAAGGTATTCTTTTGCCTTGGAAGATGAAAAGGCAGTTCCACAGAAAAGGAAGAACATAACACTTATTAATTTAATGTAATTAATATTAATGTAAATTGTACATGATGGTCTGCCATATTTTAACACTTACCTATATGATCATGATTGAATTATACCAAAAACTTTGATTTATTTAATTTATAGAAGAACTTTATAATAATAAATATACTTGTAAGTGTGTGCAGGGCAGCCCGTACATATATGTATTTACAATTTTATTATCTATAAATACTAAATTTAATGCAATGCATTTTACAAGTTAAAATAAAATTTCCTTTAATTTTTTTGCATCCTACGTACGTTTTTTATATATTTTTGCAAGGGCAAATGACCTAAATTGCCTTAAACTTGCATATTTGATAAATGCCAATGACAATGATTGAATTCACTTAAATTTCTGGATACTGTTTTTCCATCAAAAATATGAGAATCTAGTTGTAAGGCACACTGTATAGCTAGTTACCTTGTAAAGCGAATATTTTGATGCCTACAGAGAATTTATAAGTTGCACAATTAAGTTGTTACTAAGCGTTTTAATTGTAGTCCATTAAGAGAATGACGCAGAGGAAATTTCCTGGTTAGTCATTATTATCTCGGACCAGAGAGTTGACACTTGCACCGTTTTTTAATTTTAAATCGAATTCGCTAATTGTATTAAAAAGGCATTAAGATTGCCATCTGTCTTATTTTAAGTTATTTTTTAAGAGGGAACTCGTCGAGGCGTTTTAAACAGGAGTCCAAAGTGATTACTGCGCGATGACTGGCGGGTTTTGACTTTTATAAAGTGCCGCCAACTTGATGTTTGGTCATCGATCCAGTGAAAGTGATACCCGAGGTTTAACATCCAATTTAGTTTTTAGAGATTTACGTAAAGGTTTTTTTTTTGTATAGTAGATGAGAAGTTGAGTCTTTCACATTTTGCATTACAATTTTATTAATAAATTCTGCTTTCAATGCCACTTTAAAATACACGTAAACCCACCGGCAACACCGCAAGATCTTTATATTGTAATGCTTATATATAATATTGATAATATGCCTATAATACTATATTATGCAACAAGTGCGGTAAACAGCATTTGGCTCACGAGTTTATTTGTCACCACCGGAGCGAGTGTTTAATAAACGAGTGACAAACGTCAAAATTCAAAGCGTCGGAAATATCTCCGAAAACATCCGATTGCTCCAAACCCCTGCGGAAACGTCCGAAGTGGCTCGGATTCGTTGGAAACGGAACTGACATGGTAAAGTGACGCTTCCCACACTCTAGATAGTAGAAAAAATATTTGACCGACCTTTTCAATTTTTCGTTCGAGTATATTATTATAATATCTCCATCTTATTTTTTTTTTTCGGTAACTTATTTCACGTGTTGTTTAAAATAAACTTTTATTATTCTCTGTATCTTAATACGACAGAGTTATAAATCAATATACTGTAATACTTAGTGGGATCAGCAGTGTTCCATGGACATGCAACACTTGTGGCAGTTGTTGGCAAAGTGCGTTCGTGAAAAAGGCTAGTGTTTGGGAATTTGGTGATGAGAAACGGACTACGAAAGCTGTGCTTTCTAAAAATGAGAAATTTGTTCTTGATGTGTTTACAGCTCTTCGATACCAAAACCCGACATTCGGAGGTGAAAAAATAGTTAAGAGTTGAATTGACTTGAGTTGAGAAATAGTTATGTTCGAATATGACTGGCAATGGGCAGGCAACAATATACCAACTTGTGCATTAACAAAAGAAACTATAATAAATTTGGATGAAAAGACTGCCATTAGAAGAATAATACACTCGTTTTAATTGAAAGCAAAAAAACTACTTCCACCCATGGGTAAGAAGAAATTGGGGAAAACTTTGAAGAAACGAAAACTCAAAACTGATAACCACTTTTAATTGAGAAAGAGAATAGAGATATTTTGAAATCAGGATGGAGAATGTGATTGAGATAGAACAAAGAATGTAGGAAGCTGATAACATGTTATAAGGAGACTGTGGAGTATTTATTTTTATAAACTCCAACTACTATAATTCACCTACCTACTCATAACATAATACCCAAAATATGCAAATGAAGTTGTATTGTAAATAGTAGATTTTTTAAATAATAAAATTTATTATTATTATCTGTTCCATTTCTATAATTATAATCATGTAGTTACTATAAC